TTCACTAGAGAGAAATGAGCTACTCATTGAGAGCGAGGGCGAGCCCCGCGATTTGAACACGCCGCGGCCGAGTGCCGTGCACATGGATATCGGGTCTGAATCTCCGTGTGTGCTTCATCATCTATTCGGCGCAGGCCGGTGTCGACTCGGACGCTCAGCGCAGGCGCGAGAGCGGCGGGGAGCGGCAGCGAGGGCGGCAGCGGCGCGGCGGGCGGCGGCGAGGGCGGCGGCGAGGTGGGAGGCGCGGACAGGGCGCGGCCTTTCCGGGCGGGTGCGCTCTCGAGCCGCGTCGAGGCAGGTGGGGGCGAGGCCGATGGCAGCGGCGGCGGCGAGGGAGGAGGCGGCGAGGGAGGTGGAGGGCTCGGTGGGCCGTCGAGCTGGCGGCGGTGTGAGGAGGGCGAGCCCACCACTCCCAGCTCCTCCTCCTCGGCGTGGGCGTCGGCCGCGGCCGGCGCCAGCCCGGGGGGGCTCTCCTCGCCGTCCTCGGCGCAGCAGAGCTCTCGGAATGTTCCAGCAGAGCTTCGGTCGGAGGCTGGAGAGCGCCACTGGAGGAGGTGGCGCACGGCGTGCGGATCGGCTCCGACACGGATCGGCTGATGCGGCGGGCATGGGCCGGCGGGCGGCCTGGGGACACAGGGGCCGACGGCTGGCATTGCAAAAGCGCCTTGGCGGGCGGCCGCGTCCAAGGGTCCGGAAAAAAGAAATAACCCCGAAGGCCGCGTCCTCCCATGTGTGTGTGTGTGTGTGTGTGCTCCGAGGGGGCCCTCTGTGCGATCCGACGGGTAGGGGGGCTGTGCCCGGGCGGTGTCCGGTGTGGAGTCCCCTTCTGATCCCGCCTGAGATGTTGGGTGTGAGGTTGTGGCGGCTCGTAACCCGATGCCAATCATCCGGCCCGCTGGGTGCGCTTCTCAGCTCCCCGGCTCTTGTGAGCCTGTTTGTGTCTGTGTGTCGCTCGTGCGTGTCGTCATCATCTGTCTAGCGTCCACCCATACCGCGTTGCCGTTGGTGTCCAGTCCGAGCCTGGCTGTTCTTTCACCTTTCTACCTACCTACCTACCCAATGTGGCCCTGGATGTGCGGTTGAGGTAGAGAGGACCCTGCTCTCCAAGTTGCTCCAAGTGCGTCTTGGAGCACTTGGAGCACTTGGAGGAGTCTAAAACAATTTTTTTCGGCCCGCGGCATCTGCGGCATTTCAGTCACACGTGCATTTAACGTGCTACGGCTACGATCCGCCGAAATTCGGACAATGTCTAGTCCGACACGCCCGCAACATGACGCCCACATCAGCCGCGTTGGGCGGCGCGCGCCGACGCCGACCATCACCGCCGACCGACGGCTCGCACGGCCGTGCGGTGAGCAAAAAATTGGGTCGCTACGCGCCTGCCGGATGCTCTGCGACGTCTGGACGCTCGCCAGAAACGCCAGGAAGCTTGCCTTCCACCCCTGGGCCCGAGGGCGAACGGCAGTGGTCGGCAGCCTCTGCGACGCTCCGATCGGCTCCTCGACCTCATCGTCTGCAACGAGCCAGCATAGCTCGTCGCTCGACGGCAGCCTGCTCAGTATGCTCTCGGCATTCTGTACAGCCTCGCCAGGCTCTCTGTGACGGCCTGCAGGGCCGGCGCGGACCGCCTTGGGCGCGATGGCCCTCCTCAGTACCTACCTCATCGATGCCTGTCGGCTCTCCAATCTCGTCGCCGGCGGCAGGCCCGCATGGCGCGCTGCTCGATGGCAGCCCGCTCAGTACGCCTTGGACAGTGACTTCTGCCTCGCAGCTCTTACTGCAGCCACCTCCGGGACCGGCGCCGGCCGCCACGCCTCGCCAGTGCTGTCTACGCCTGCGACACGCGTGTCGGCTCGCCGCCCGCGTCGCCCGCGGCGGGCCCGCATGGCGCGCCTCTCGTCGGGAGCGTTCCCAGCAGGCTGTGCAGGGCAGTCTGCCTCACTCAGGGCGCCGCCGCCGCTGCGCGGGGCCGCCACCGGCGCTGCTGCCGTGAACACTGCCGCCGTGTACGCCACACCATCGCCTCTCTTCGTCGCCGATCTCGCCGACGCCGCTCGCCGCTCGCCGCCGCCCTGCCCTGCCCTGCCCAGCCCTCGCACAAACAAACCAACACACACACACACACACACACACACACACACACACACACACACACACACACACACACACACACACACACACACACACACACATATACACACACACAAAACACACCCTGCCCTCACTCGAGCGCCCCGCGCCCTCCCGCCCCACGCCCTGCGCCTCACGCCTCGCGTCCCACGCACCCCCCGCGCCCCGCGCCCCCACGCCCCTCACCCTGCCCCTCACGCCTTCCTCCCCACCCTCTCAGGCATTTCTCGTCCCCGCTACTCGCCGACTCCTCCTCCCCCCGCATGACCGACGACTACCCGTCCTTCGGCGACTCCTCCCTCCTCGGCGCCAACGTCTACTACCCGTTCGGCCCGGTGAGGGGCGGGAGTGGCGGTGCTCCTCAAATACCGCTCAAACGCCCACGATGTTGTGGAGGGGACATATTCTGATGATCCTGGCCCGATTGGTTCGCTCAGAAAGCTTCTGGGCGGCCGTTAAGGTTCAGGTCCCAGACGGGCGAACACGCGGTTTTTCGATGACCACGCGCGATGTGGTATCTGCTTTTTGCTAAAAACGGGCCGCCTAGTGCAGCATCACTAGTAAAACACGCAACCACACTGAGAGCTCCACACTAGCCGGCAAAGGCGAGAACCGACGGCGTCAAGGTCGCCGGAGTGGACGCACTGCACACACACTGTGACCGTGTCGTCGGTGTGACAGTGAGCGACACAAGTCAATCGTCGGCGCCGCGCTATCGCGGCGCCCCGCAGTCTACACGCCTCAGGCGCACCCCTGAACGCGCCATGGGCGCGCAGATACACCGCAGCGCCGTGGAGAATCCACACCTGGCCGGTCCCAGGCCCCGTCCTGGGCCTCCTGAGTAACGGCCGAAGATCGGCGTTCGGCTTCGGGCGGGATGAACTTGTCGGAAATGGAGCTAACTTGGCGCGGCTCGCCGCTCACGGTACCTGGTGAGCCGGGATAGGGAGGGCAAAATCTGGGGTGAATACGAGGGACAGAGGTCGCAAGTTGGTCGTGCAAGTTGGTTGCGCGGCGCGGCGCTGCCCCGCTGCCGAGGGCGCCACCAACCCGTGGCCACCGCCCGACTTTGGGACCCCCCAGGCAGCGCGGCCCCGCCCGGGAGAAGCTGGCCCATCTGTCGACAGCTGGCGCGGCTCACGCCGGCCGCTGCGCCAGAATTTTTTTTGTGCTGAGCACAGGGTTGGTTGTGCCGGGCCGCCCCCGCGAGAGAAACTCGTCAGTAAAACTCTCGGGCGGCCCGGCTGTCTGAGGCTGGCACGCAATGGCAAAAGCCCGCGGCTCGTCGCCAAGGAGTTACGAAGTTTTGTCTCTCTCTGCGTTCTCGCACATGGAGTGCGAGGTATCTCGTCTGTCGCCGTCCCAAACTGACACTCCCCTCTCTCCCGGCCAGGGTGGGGCGCGCGCGGGGGAGGCGGGTGTGCGGCGGGTGTGCGGGTTGTTTGTGGGACCTGCGACGGTGTATCATTCACTTTATGCCAGCGTTGCATATCCGGGATATGCAACGCTGGCATAAAGTGAATGATACACCGTCGCAAAACTGCATTGGGTCTCGAGTTCGAATCCAGGACCGAGAGAGCGATGTGCTTGTGTCCGCCTTGCGTTTGTTTCATAACATCGAAGAAGAGAGCAATCACCAATCCTCGCTACCCAACGCGGCCAAAGGATATCCACCTCGAGAACCTCGAGAGAGAGCAATCATTCAGGTATAAAAAAGCTCAACAACCAAAGCGGCACGAACTCGTCGACCCAGGGCGAGCGGGCCCGACCTCCCGGGGATGGAAGCGGGTGGGACCCAATGCCACCGTCCTCGCCGGGGGCGACCCCAGCCGGGCCGTCGACGCTCTCGGAGGCTGCGGTACCAGCCGAAGGCGAAGCGGAGGCGAGGCCACAGGCACAGCCGAGGAAGAGGCATCAGAAACGACGGCGGAGGCAGTGTACGTGTACCTACGTGGGCGCACATGAGGTGTGTCCGTGTACGCACGTGGAGTACAGTGTAGTTCGTTAGCTCCGAGTAGAGGGGGCGTTCTGCAGGTAAGGGGAAACCCGGTACGCGGAACTAACCCTCGGAGACCCGTGTTTACTTTACGGCCCTTTCTTTCCCTGCGAACGCGCACCCCCGGGGCTAGGGCTCTCTAGCCCGTAACCCGACACCGATCATCCGGCTCGCTGGGTGCGCTTCTTAGCTCGCCCCGGCCCTGGATGTGAGGTTGATAACTGCACTCTTGATGCTCCAAGTGCTCCAAAGTCCAAACATCCACAGCAGGCGACGCACACACCACACTTGCAAGCTCGTATGTCGTAACGCAAAATGAGATGCCGCGGCGCCGGTCCCCAGGACTAAATTACGCGAACTGGACACCGCTCCCTCCACCGGCACCGCTCGTCCGCTCCTGCGTCAGGCTGCAACCGCCCTCTCTCCCCCCCTCTGAGCAGCAGCTGCACCGCTCCCCCTCCATGCCCCCCCCCCCCCCCCCCCTCACAACACCCGCCCGCCCGCCCACCAAACCCGCACCCGCGCGCGCCCGGCACAGTCGCTGTGCGTCGTGCTCCGCAGCCGCAGGGTCTGTTGCTCTCTGCCATGCTCGCGCGGCGGTCCCGCAGGAACCCGCGCCCTTGCCGCCCGGCCTGGGCTGGAGAGGCTCAGCGCAGCTCGATACCGCGCTCCTCGCACACGGCCACCAGCTCAGGCTGCTTCTTGTTCTCGCTTCCCACGACGAGCGCCTGCACGCGAGGGGAGGTGCGATGAGCATTGGGCGGGGGGAGGGGCGTGTGGCGAGGGGGAGCGTCTCGCGCCTTCAAGCTCGGGGCGGCCCCCTCCTTGAGGGCGGCGGCCAGCGCCGTGCAGCCCTCGTCACCAATCTGGTTGCCGCTGAGACCAAGCTCCTTGAGCCGCGGCGCTGCTCCCTCCTTGCCGAGGGCGGCGGCCAGCGCCTTGCAGCCCTCGTCGCCAATCTCGTTGCGGTGGAGAGAGAGCGTCTCAAGCCGCGGCGCTGCCCCCTCCTTGCCGAGGGCGGCGGCCAGCGCCTTGCAGCCCTCGTCGCCAATCTCGTTGCGGTAGAGATAGAGCGTCTCGAGCCGCGGCGCTGCCCCCTCCTTGCCGAGGGCGGCGGCCAGCGCCTTGCAGCCCTCGTCGCCAATCTTGTTTTCGCCGAGATAGAGCGTCTCGAGCCGCGGCGCTGCCCCCTCCTTGCCGAGGGCGGCGGCCAGCGCCTTGCAGCCCTCGTCGCCAATCTTGTTCCAGTTGAGATCGAGCTTCTCGAGCCGCGGCGCTGCCCCCTCCTTGCCGAGGGCGGCGACCAGCGCCTTGCAGCCCTCGTCGCCAATCTTGTTTTCGCCGAGATAGAGCGTCTCGAGCCGCGGCGCTGCCCCGCTCGCGAGGACCTCCGCCAGCTGCGCCGCCTCCGCGTCGCCCCAGCCGAGGTTGTTGTAGAACAGCACGGTCGCCTTGCCAAACTGCTCCTTGAAGGCGGCCTCGTACAGCCGCTTCACCAGCGGCTTGTCGTCCTTGCCGTTGGTGAAGCTCTTCGTCTCCAGCTCCGCCGCGAAGGCAGACGGCAGCAGCGGAGGGCGCCGGCCGCCGTCCTGGGCGCAGTCCTCGGTGAGGCTCCAGTAGTCGTACTCCTTGCCGTCGCGCATCTTGCCGAGGTCGAGCGAGAGCTGGCCGACCTTGGTAAGGCCCGCCCAGCTCTGCTCGGTGTAGCACCAGCCGCGGTCAAAGTACTTGGCCACGTTGGTGCCCTCGGCCTGGTCCTCCGCCTTGTGGCCGTCCGGGAAGGAGGTCAGCCGCAGCACCCAAGTGTGCTGGTGGGAGTAGAGCGTGCCGAGGAAGCTCAGCCCCTGCTTGAAGAGCGCGTTCTGCTCCTCGGTGCGCAGGACGCCGTTGGGGGGGTCGGGGTGCTGGTGCAGCGAGCCGAAGTCCCAAAAGACGCCGAGTCGCGGGCAGAGACGCTTGTTGCTGAGCAGGGCCTTAAGCGCCCTTGCGACGCGGGCGAGGTTGGCTCCGCGCGGGTCGGGGTGGTCCTTGGTCAGCCACGGGTAGGAGAGCGCGGCGACGGGAAGGCAATCTCCGTACGGGTTCGAGGTGGTCGCCTCGACGAGGTCGGCGAAAGAGAGGAAGGCCTCTTTGGGCAGCGCCTGGCGGTGGTTGAGGACGCCGCCCGCCTCGGCGTGGCTGATGATCCACCGCGCGTCGAGGAGGGCGACGGCGCCGCTCGCGAGGACACGCTCCAGGTCGCCGCCGCCGAGAATGCGCCACAGCTTCAGCTTCGTCTCGTAGGTCAGACCCGGCTTGCTCGTGCCGCAGCCCATCGCTTCGCCTGCCTGTGTAAGGCCGATCGGATGGTGCTCAACAGCGGCTCGGGGAGCGGCCGAGGCCGCAAACGCGAGCTGAGGGCGTGTCAAGATTTTTGTGTGCGATCTTCTGTTTACGGAGTTTTGTTGTAAAATTCTGTTTGCGCCGTATTTTTGTTTGAGCCTGTATTTTTCACGCGACAGGCGAGGCGCGGGCGACGGCTTCCTCAGAAGCCGTCGCCCGCACCACAGGAGCAGTCACACCACTCCCACTCCGGCGCCCACCCACTCCCCACCCCGACATCCCTGGAAAAAGAATGTAAACAACACAACTCTCTCTCTGGAAAAAGGATTCGGATGTTAGTGATGACAAGAATTCTTAACATTACGGGCAAGAGAGCCCTAGCCCCGGGGGTGCGCGGTCGCAGGGCCATAACACGGGTCTCCGAGGGTTAGTTCTGCGCTCCGGGTTTTCCCTAGCTGCGGAACGCTCCCTCTACTCGGAGCTAAAGTGTAAAGAATACTCTCCGAGGGTTGGCCCGTGTACCAGGTTTCCCGGATGTTGGTCATTACAAGAAACACACTAAAAAGCCTCCCAAGCGTGGGTGTCTAAGGGTCCTGGCACTCCTGGATGCATGCACAGTCACAACAGAGTAGCAATGTTCGGAAGTGTCCGAGCCGTCCCGAGCCGTCCCGAGCCGTCCCGAGCCGTCCCGAGCCGTCCCGAGCCGTCCCGAGCCGTCCCGAGCCGTCCCGAGCGGTCCCGAGCCGTCCCGAGCTGTCCCAACGGCCTAGATGCTAAAGTTCGACCGGCGGGGGCGCGGCGCTTGGGCCAGCTTCCTGCAGGCGCGGATCAAGCCATGGGAGTGTGGTCTTGGGGACAAGCAAAGCTTACGTCGGGCAGCGGCAGATCATCACAGAATGGAAGGGCCGGAACCTGTCCCTCGAGAAACAACGGTTCAACAAGACGGTGCAGCACTACCGTGGGCGTGTGGAGCACCTCATTGGCCAGGTAGTGGACAACCGTCTTGTCAACAAGACGGTGCAGCACTACCGTGGGCGTGTGGAGCACCTCATTGGCCAGGTAGTGGACAACCGTATGGCTCTGTGCACTACGTGGCGCGGTTCGTTCACCCTGCTTGCCGCGGTCATGAAGAGATCGCGGCGCACATGGTTGGGCTCCAGGAGCGTATGAAGGGACCTAGGTATGATGTGTTTGGCCCGCAGCCGGGCGGCGCAGTTTCCTTAGTGCTTTGCTGTTATTGCTGCTAATCTCATGAATTGTTTACAATTTCTTTCTCACACTGCAGCACCTCCCCGCGCCGCCCAGCCGTGCAGCCCAGCCAGCCGGAGGCGGGCCGCAAATGTCCCAGGCGCGCCCCCGAGAAAAAAATCACGATGGTGCTGCGCGTGCGTCCAAGGTTAAAATCCCTGTGTGGTGGCGGCGTGCCGTCCTCCCATCCTTTCCTTGGGTTGTGTGTTTTGTTTCTTTTTCGCACGACGTTGTAAAATTCGTTGTAAAATTCTTTTTCGTCTTGTGAGCCTGTTTGTGTCTGTGTGTCGCTCGTGCGTGAGATGACCCGACGTTACCCGAGATAACCCGAGATAACCCGAGATTATCCGAGACTACCCGAGATCGGCGGGTGAGAGTTAGTCAAAGGTCCACCAGCACAGCCTCCAGCCACCAGCCTCCACCTCCACCCGCGAGCCGCCACCGCTGCCGCCCGCGACGCCGCCCGCCGCGTCAGATTGCCGCTACGCGCGCATCGAGTCGCGTCGGAGAGCCGCGCCGCACCAGCAGCAGCATCTGCACCACCACCACCAGCAGCAGCAGCACCACCACCACCAGAGAGAGAAGCGCACTTGCCCGACGCCGCCCGCCGCGTCAGATGCTCGCCACGCGCGCGTCGAGCCCAGTCGCAGAGCCGCGCCGCGCCATCAGCAGCATCTGCACCATCAGCACCACCATCACCACCACCAGCAGCAACAGAGAGTGGCAGTGCAGGCGCAGAAGCGCTCGCAGAGCGGCGCACAGCGCCGCACACGCCACGCTGCGGACCGTCGGACGAGCGCAGCGTACGTCGGCGGCGAGCCGCGTCGCCCGTCTCGCGAGAGAGCGGCGCCGCCGCGTGCGCGCAGCAGCCGCCGCGGCAGAGGCGAGCCGCGGCGACGTCCGCACAACGGATAACTGCCATTGGCGGTTTTCAACACACACTGGGACACCAACGCGGAACGTTAGTTTTTCTTGCAAATCCACGTGTCAAGGCTCGCCGGCTCTGAGCCTCGCGACCAACGTACACCACCCATGGCCGACTTCGACAAGTCGTGCGTCGACGTGGCAGAGCTCGACGAGGCGGAGATCCGCCGCGTTTGCGCTGCTCTCGGCCTGGGCGAAGTCCTCTCGAGCCAGAAGCTGACAAACGGAGGCGCGAGAGCGACGCCTCCGCGACAGCTCCGGCGTCCAGCACAGTATCCAGCCCTGTACACCGACGGCGTGACCTTAGGCTGTGCCGCCAACTACATCGTCCGCCTCTCGGCGGCGAACGACGGCGCGGCCGAGGCCATCGTTCTCAAGGCGTGCGTCGCCGAGAGCGCGGCGCGGGCGGAGGAGCTGGCGGTGCTTCAGTACAAGGTGCTCGCGGCGCTCGCCAAGCACGGCGCCGCCGCGCCCGCGCCAAAGAGCAGTCTCACCGCCGCCTGTGTCGGTACGCGCGGCCAGGCGCGCCGCCGCCGCCGCCTCTCTCTCTCTCTCTCTCTCTCTCTCTCTCTCTCTCTCTCTCTCTTTCTCTCTCTCTCTCTCTCTCTCTCTCTCTCTCTCTCTCTCCCTCTCTCTCTCTCTCGCTCTGCCCTGCCGCCTCTCTCCCTCGCTCTCCCTCTCTCCCGCCGACTATTTCTTTTCTTGCCGCGTAGGCGGGTCATGCGATGGCGATGGAGCTGCTGGGCGGAGAGGCGCCAGATTACCCGAGATTACCCGAGATTACGCCGAGATTACCGAGATGGCGCTGCTGGGCGGAGAGGCGGCCACCGTGTGCCTCCTCCTCGTCCAGTCATCTCTGTTTGGGCCCGCGCTTTCTTTTTCAGGCGGGGGATGAAGCTCCTCGGCGGCTGCGGCCATGTCTTTCTTCTGCCACCCTCGATTTCTTTTCTAGGCGGGGAATCGGCTCCTCCGCTCCGGCGAGGCGGACGCGCCAGCCGTGTTTGGCGCCATCTAGCCGAGATATCGCCGAGATTTCTTGGCCGAGAGTACGTAGAGATAGCCGCAACGTCGCCGAAAGGGTAGAGATAGCCGCAACGTCGCCGAAAGGAAGCGTTGAGATGGGCGAAGAGACAGCAAAGGTAGCCTAGCTGAGGTGTGAGGTGTGGACAGCGTCGCTTCACACCTCGCGCTGTGAACAGGCGCCATCGGCCGCGCTCTCGCCGCCGCACACGCCGTCCCTCCGCCCGACGGTTTGCCGGATGTTGGAGCGGCGGGATCGGACTACATTGAGCGGTGGACACTTCCTAGACTCTTCCTAGACACTTCCTAGGCAGAGGCACATCCCAGACACTTCCTAGCCTCTTCTGAGACACTTCCCGCCCGATGTTGGAGCGGCGGGGTTGGACTAGATTGAGCGGTGCTGCGCCAGGAAGCAATCTGACGCCGCGATTTCTTTTCGCACCGATTTCTTTTTCGCGCCGATTTCTTTTTTAGGTACGTGCGCTGCGCGGCGCCGCTCGAGGCGCACGTCGGCACGGTGCCTCCTCGGGCCGATCTCAGCCGCGTCTCGCGTTTCTTTTATTACTCACCCCCCCTGTTGTATGCAGGTGTGGCGGGCCAAAGGAGCCGACATGCCGCCTAAAAGTCTCTGTCTTCCACCCCACATTGCATTGCTATTCAGGTGTGGCGGGCCGACGAGTCGAACAGCCGTGTCGCGTTTCTTTTGGCGCGAACTTGTTTCTGTTTCTTTTTCCACAAGGTGTGGCTGGCCGACGAATCGAACAGCGGTGTCGCGTTTCCTTTTGGGCCGGACTTGTTTCTTTTTCCACAAGGTGTGGCGGGCCGACGAGCCCACAGGTTTCGTCGCGTGGGCGTTTGCCGCCGGCCGGTTGGACATCGTAGAGTTCAACGAAAGCACAACTCTCTCACATAGCACACGGGTTCGACACGGGTGGGCAAAAGAGGCACACGCGTAACGGCCGCTTAAACGGCGCCGCCGTCCTCATAGAGGACATCCTGGGAGCCGAAGGCAGACTCCCTATTCAAGGTCAGTTTTGTTAATGGCAGACTGAATTCGCTTATCACTAATGACTAACCGTAGGCTGGACACGGCTCGGGCGGTGCTTGCCGACGCGTCTCTGCCACGGGGGCGCGCGACACTTCCGAGACACCTCCGAGACACCTCCGAGACACCTCCAAGACACCTCCGAGACACCTCCGAGACACCTCCGAGACACCTCCGACACAAAACAGTGACGGTTCTGAAGACACACACGGCCCCCAGACTGCTGCACGGCGATCCATCAACGAGTAATAGTTGAGGATGAATAACTGATGTCCGCAGGCTGCTGCACGGTGATCCGTACGCGGACAACGTGCCCGCTCAACTGAGACCTCTTAATTATAGCTTGAGCGTAGTTAATTCGTCGGCAAGAACGATAGTGCCCGCTCAACCTCGAGACCTCTTAATTATCAACTGATAATGCATTATGAGAGTACTTAATAACTGAATAGGTGCTGCTCGACCTCGAGACCTCTTAACCCTTAGTTGATAATGCATTATGAGAGTACTTAATAACTGAATTATAGGTGCTGCTCGACCTCGAGACCTCGCAGGCGGCGCTGGTGGACTGGGAGGCGGGCTGTCAAGCTAGATCTCGGCTGATCTCCGCTGATCTCGGCAGGCGGCGCTGGTGGACTGGGAGGACAGCTGCATCGGCCCTCTCGCCTTCGACCTTGCCTGCGCCCCTAGATGCTGAATACCTACCTCCTTATATCTCCCCACATCTCCTCATAGCTCGCCTTCGCCTTGCCTGCGCCC